AGGAGAGGGAGAGAGAGAGAAGAAAGAGAGAGAGAGGAGATGAGAAGAGGAGAGAGAAGGAAAAGAGATTATTACCACAAATGACACTTTTTTGCCGTGGGGAGATAAAAATACAAACAAACGACTCTTTTCAAACAAGTCAATCCCGCACCTCAAATACCTCACCAAAACAAACAACAAACAAACAAACAAAAAAAAAGCAAACAAAACCCATGAACAAAAAAAAAAAAAAATCGAAATTAACAAAGAATATATACCCCCTTCACCCCCTCCCCACCCCCACCCCACCCCCACCCCCCTCCAATGGCCGACCGACGCCAGGTGAGAGAAAATTGCTTCAAGGAAAAAAGCCAAGACAGCGGGAGGGCCAGTGCCAGTGCCAGTGCCAGGGCCGAGTGCCAGTGCAGTGCCAGCCGAGTGCCAGTGCCAGAGTGCCAGGTGCCAGGGATCCCGTTCCCAAGAGAGAGGCACTGGAATGAATGATATTCCGCGGGGACTCTCGCCCTCTGATTGTGCCTGGGGAGAGGGGGGGAGGGGGGGGGAGGGGAGGGAGAGCAGGGAGAGGGAAGAAGGGGAGGGAGGGAGAGGAGGGAGGAGAGAAAAGGGGAGGAGGAGAAGAGGAGATGAGGGGGAAGGAGGAGAGCAGAGGAGAGGCGAGGAGAGAAGGATGAAGGGGGGGGGGGGGGGAGAGGAGGAGGAAGAGGAGAGAGAGAGGAGGAGGGAGGAAGAGGAGAGAGAGAGAGAGAGTGGGGGGGAGAGGGGAGAAGGGGAGAGAAGGAGAGAGGAGAGAGAAAGAAGGAGAGAAAAGAGAGAGAGAGAGAGAGAGAGAGGAGAGAGATGAGAGAGAGGAGAGAGAGAGGAGAGAGAGAGAGAGAGAGAGAGGAGAGAGACGAGAGAGAGAGAGAGAGAGACAGAGAGAGAGAGAAGAGAGAGATTCTGAAAATAAAAGCTTACACACTACAACTAGAAAAAAAAATCCACAAACACACCAACAAAAACAAACAAAACGAACAAAAAACAAAACAAAACCACTGTCAATAACCGCCGCAACAAACCGCCGACCCGGACACTGGCCGACAAGCAAAAACAAACACAATTGAATAAAGACAGGAAAACAAACACCAGCTAATCCGGAGGGATTTTCGTGGATTTTCGGCGATTAACAACAAACCAATCCGACGACGGGGGGAGAGGGAGGGGGAGGAAGGAGGGAAGAGAGAAGAGGGGAGTAGAGAAGCAGAGGGAAGGAGGGAGCAGGGGGAGGGAGGAGGGAAAGGAGAGAGAAAGGGGGATGTAGAGAGAGGGAAGGGAAGAAGGAAGAGAGAGAGGAGAGGGAGGGAGGGAGGGAAGGGAGAGAGAGGAGGGATGTAGAGAGGAAGGAAGGAGGAAGGGAAGAAGAGAAAGAGAGAGAGGGAGAGGAGAGAGGGAAGTAAGGGGAAGGAGTGGGAGACGGAAGAAGAGGAGAGAGATAAGAGAAGATTCGATTAGAGAAATAGAGATAGATAATTAGAGCGAGCGAAAGAAAAGAGAGCGAGAGCGAAGAGAGAGAGAGAAGAAGAGAGAGAGAGAGAGAGAGAGAGAGAGAAGAGAGAGAGGAGAGAGAGATGAGAGAGAGAGAGAGAGAGAGAGAGAGAAGAGAGAGAGAGAGAGAAAGAGAGGAGAAAAGAAAAGAATAGAGAGAGAGAGAGAGAAAGAAGGAGAAAAGAGAAAGAGAGAAAGAGAAAAAGAGGAGAAGAGCAGAGAAAAAGACCAACAAACAAACAAAAAACGAAACGAAGAAAGACCACCCGAGGAAGATAGAAAGAGAAACACGGCTAAAAAGAACAACGAAAGGTATGAACAGATAATAAAAGTAATAAAAAAAAGTGGACAAGGAAGCCGAGAGGACACAGGTAGGGCGAGAAGGCAAGGGGAGAGCCAAAGAGGGATGGAAAATCAATATGGCCGCCCCAGGTAGGAGAGGGGAAGGGGGAGAGGGGGAGGAGAGGGGAGAGTGGTGGGAGAGATGGGGGAGAGGGGAGAGGGAGAGTGGTGGGGGAGATGAGAGAGGGGAGAGGGAGAGGAGAGAGTGTGGGGGAGAGTGGTGGGGGAGGGGAGAGGAGGTCGGAAGGGAACAATAAGGAAGCAACGATAA